TGTCATCATATGAATCCGACGACATTTCTCCTGATTTCTCCGCCGCTTTCGCTTCCCGTCGTTTCTTCTTCTCATCTCCGGGACGTTCCAATGCAATCACCGACTCACCGGAAACCCGGTCAAGAGAACTACATTCTGATAATTACGATAATGCCACTATCACTTCAACAAAGAAGAAGAATCATTATACTACTACCAGGCTTTTAAGCGGAGGAACCGCCGTGAAACAACACGTGTACTCACCGGATCCGTTAACTGATTTCCGGCGATCAATGCAAGAGATGATTGACGCCGCCATTGACGCCGGAGATCTTAGTCGTCCCGACGATGGTTACGATTTCTTGAACGAGTTGCTTCTAAGTTATCTCTCCTTAAATCCAGTCGACACTCACAAGTTCGTCATCAAAGCTTTCTCCGACATTCTGGTCTCGCTCTTGTCGGAAGAACGTGAGATTTGCTGACGTGGCGGCCACCGGAAAAGAAAAAATATCGTCGTGGAGTTATTGCTCCACGTGACTATTAATTAAGCAAACCTAACTTTTTATTTTTTGGTGTCTTCAAAGGCAGAGTAACTACTGACAGTTTTATTTTTGTTATGTTCTTGGTAGTATTTATTTTTCAACTCCGTAACAAAAGTTATTAAGTTTTCAAGTATTATGACAGGATGATAAACTGTAATTATTGTGTACTTTTTCAAGCATTATTGAGGGGAAGTGTGCATATTGCTTTTGGTTTTTTTTTTTTTGTGTGGTTATAATCTTGTTTTCAATGGTGAAAAGGATAGAGGAAATTTGAGATAAATGTTAAAAAAAATCTAAGCCACTGTAGCAACTTGACAAATAATGAGTGAAATCAATAGCAAAAAAATTTCCCGTTGAATGTTAAAGTAGACCAGGATATCAAATTAAAAACACTAGCTATTGGATTTGTGTTTAACATTTATAATTGGCAAAAGGGGCATTAGAATTGGATGTATAGAAATCTAATGTATGGACAAAAGTTGTTCGGAAGTATTACGAGAAGGTTCAAATCCATATCAAATATTTATTTTATTTTAAAAATTTTGTTATATTTGAACTTATGAATTAACAAATAAAAGTTAGATACGTCCAAAATACTTTATTTGAATACATAGTTAAAATTGAACTTGGTTCGATCAATGAAGAATGATGTTGAATAGACAAAACAAAGTACAATGCTTTAGGCATCGATAAACTCACTATAGTTGCTTATATTATATCAAGGCGTGGATCCTTTGTTTTTTTAAAGATGACTATGAATCCATACTTAAATTTACAAATGATATCAAGCAATTAAGTTTTGCTCTCTTTTGATATAAACCAAAACATTGCTTTGCACACAACAAAAAAAAAAAAAACCAAAACATTGCATTTACCATTACTTCATCTACATCTTAAACTACATGAATTTTAGTTTTCATCTATCCTAGTATATAGAATGTTTCTTCAAGATTGTATCCATACATCGGATTTTTTTTTTTTACAAATGTTTTAAGGAATTTGTAAAATCAACATGCACTGATATATAGTTAAGGATCGAAAGGAATTTACTACACATACATTTTGCTTGTGTTGTATATGTGCAAAAATTGTTATGTAATATTGTTTATATACTTCAATTAAATAGATATATTCTTTTTTTGCTTCTTTCCATTAGATTTAAGTTATTTAACACATAACACAATGTCAGACAAAACAAAATAATTGAGAATCCTAAGAGACGGATGTTGGAAGGTCCACTCGACCAGATAAACTATAAAGTTGATGATTGATAATTTAAAATAAGGGGTCTAATTACTAGTATTAAAAAGTTAGTTGGTTTAGGTAAATTATGACCCTATATTTTGTTTTATTCACTAAAGACATAAAACTAGCCTCTAGACCCTCTCAGTTGCGGCTATTTTGTGAAACCAAACACACTGTTAGATTTAATACTACGAGATGATAAACTTAAATTATATAGGTCCAATAAATAGTTCGTATTTGTTTTTTTTGTTTTTTTTGAAACTAATAGTTCGTATTTGTTAACAACTGGAATATGTATTACATACGTATGTAATGGGAACAAAACAAATGTTTTTGCAACTCAATTTTACTATGATTTTACATTTGGTATTTGTTAAATCGCCATATAGAAATACCTGTAATTTGCATAAGTTAATTAACGACTGAAAGCTTCCCTAATAATAAGCAACTTCCCTAATAATAAGCAATCTTATGTATACTTTTCGAGTTGGTAAATGGTGCTGGTTTTCTGCCGCTTGTCTCCAACTCTGGCCAACCACTTGGTTGATTGGTCAAAATATAAATTTACGATTTTTTAGGGGTTAAATTTGAGTCTATGTCACTATGTGTGTCTGAGAGAGAGCTAATTGGGTCAAATGTACAGTAGAGTTCCATGTG